TTTTGCATGCTCTTGCCCATGTTCTTGACACCCATTGGTGCCATATAAATGAGAAAATTGCCAAACGTGACGTCTGAAACCCTATAGAAATATATACAAGATATATAGAAGTGCCTAACGTGTCGTCTGACATCCTAGAAAAACACAATTTTTCGACAGATTCTGTTGCTGGAGGCTGCTAGCAGTAAAACAGGTTCGAAAAAATCACCTGCCGGGGGGGAAAACACCAGGGCTCGGAAGGACGAGCGAGTGCCAGAACCACGCCAAAAAAGTGCCTAACGTGTCATCTGAAATCCTAGAAAAAGCTAGATTTTTAGTAGGCTGCTGGCTACTGGCTGTTGGCTGCTACTGGCGCTGGCTGCTAGCTACTGGCTATGTGCACCTTTTGCGTGCTCTTGCCCATGTTCTTGACACCCATTGGTGCTATATAAACGAGAAAACTGCCAAACGTCACGTTTGAAACCTTATAGAAATATATACAAGATATATAGAAGTGCCTAACGTGTCGTCTGACACCCTAGAAAAACACAATTTTTCGATAGATTCTGTTGCTGGCGGCTGCTAGCAGTAAAACAGGTTCGAAAAAATCACCTGCCGGGGGGGAAAACACCAGGGCTGTGAAGGACGAGCGAGTGCCAGAACCACGCCAAAAAAGTGCCTAACGTGTCGTCTGAAATCCTAGAAAAATCTAGAGATTTTTGGTAGGCTGCTGGCTACTGGCTGCTGGCTGCTACTAGCGCTGGCTGCTAGCTACTGGCTATGTGCACCTTTTGCGTGCTCTTGCCCATGTTCTTGACACCCATTGGTGCCATCCTAGAAAAACACAATTTTTCGTGCTGCTAGCTGCTGCACTGCTGCCGTTGCGCTTGCTGCTGCTGCGTCTGCTTGGAAAAACACAATTTTTCGATAGATTCTGTTGCTGGCAGGTTCGAAAAAATCACTTGCCGGGGGAAAACACCAGGGCTCTGAAGGACGAGCGAGTGCCAGAACCACGCCAAAAAAGTGCCTAACGTGTCGTCTGAAATCCTAGAAAAATCTAGATTTTGGGTAGGCTGCTGGCTACTAGCTGCTGGCTGCTACTGGCGCTGGCTGCTAGCTACTGGCTATGTGCACCTTTTGCGTGCTCTTGCCCACGTTCTTGACACCCATGCCATCCTAGAAGAACACAATTTTTCGTGCTGCTAGCTGCTGCACTGCTGCCGTTGCGCTTACTGCTGCTGCGTCTGCTTGTGTCTGCTGCTGCCTACTGATGCTTGCTGCCTCCTGCTGCTGCCTGCTGCTGCCTGCGGCGGCCTGCTGCCTCCTGCTGTGCTGCTGCTGGTGGCTGCTGCTGCTGTGGTGCTGCTGTCGTGCTGCTGCAATCAAACAGCTTCCAAAGCAAGAAACAACTGCTGCTGCTGCTGCTGCTTCTGCTGCTGCTGCTGCTGCCCTTTTGCGTGCTCTTGCCCATAAGCCTCAAAATTGCACCCCGAAAATGCCCTAACGTAACTTCTGAAACCCATAGAACATGATGATTTTGGCTACTTTTTCCTCCTGCTGCTGCGGCTCCTGCTCCTAAACTTGTCTGAAATCCTAGAAAAAGCTAGATTTTTGGTAGGCTGCTGGCTACTGGCTGTTGGCTGCTACTGGCGCTGGCTGCTAGCTACTGGCTATGTGCACCTTTTGCGTGCTCTTGCCCATGTTCTTGACACCCATTGGTGCTATATAAACGAGAAAACTGCCAAACGTCACGTTTGAAACCTTATAGAAATATATACAGGATATATAGAAGTGCCTAACGTGTCGTCTGACACCCTAGAAAAACACAATTTTTCGATAGATTCTGTTGCTGGCGGCTGCTAGCAGTAAAACAGGTTCGAAAAAATCACCTGCCGGGGGGAAAACACCAGGGCTCTGAAGGACGAGCGAGTGCCAGAACCACGCCAAAAAAGTGCCTAATGTGTCGTCTGAAATCCTAGAAAAATCTAGATTTTTGGTAGGCTGCTGGCTACTGGCTGCTGGCTGCTACTGGCGCTGGCTGCTAGCTACTGGCTATGTGCACCTTTTGCGTGCTCTTGCCCACGTTCTTGACACCCATTGGTGCAAATTCCAATCCACTTTTGATTGCTGCTGCTGCTGCTGCTGCTGTTGGCTAGCTGCGACGGCTAAAAGTAAACCACTCCCATTCCTTATCCTGCTAGAAATCGCATCCAATCCAATCCATCCAACGGTGACTGCTGCTGCCAGCTCCCATGCCCTCAAAACAGCTCCACAACGAAGTCAAATGCTGTCCCGAGGCTTGACGTCCCTTCCGAAATCCTAGAGAAAACAGGTTCGAAAAAATCACCTGCCGGGGGGGAAAACACCCAGGGCTCTGAAGGACGAGCGAGTGCCAGAACCACGCCAAAAAAGTGCCTAACGTGTCGTCTGAAATCCTAGAAAAATCTAGATTTTTGGTAGGCTGCTGGCTACTGGCTGCTGGCTGCTACTGGCGCTGGCTGCTAGCTACTGGCTATGTGCACCTTTTGCGTGCTCTTGCCCACGTTCTTGACACCCATTGGTGCCATCCTAGAAAAACACAATTTTTCGTGCTGCTAGCTGCTGCACTGCTGAAGTTGCGCTTACTGCTGCTGCGTCTGCTTGGAAAAACACAATTTTTCGATAGATTCTGTGTGCTGGCGGCTGCTAGCAGTAAAACAGGTTCGAAAAAATCACCTGCCGGGGGGGAAAACACCAGGGCTCTGAAGGACGAGCGAGTGCCAGAACCACGCCAAAAAAGTGCCTAACGTGTCGTCTGAAATCCTAGAAAAATTTAGATTTTTGGTAGGCTGCTGGCTACTGGCTGCTGGCTGCTACTGGCGCTGGCTGCTAGCTACTGGCTATGTGCACCTTTTGCGTGCTCTTGCCCACGTTCTTGACACCCATTGGTGCCATCCTAGAAGAACACAATTTTTCGTGCTGCTAGCTGCTGCACTGCTGCCGTTGCGCTTACTGCTGCTGCGTCTGCTTGTGTCTGCTGCTGCCTACTGATGCTTGCTGCCTCCTGCTGCTGCCTGCTGCTGCCTGCGGCGGCCTGCTGCCTCCTGCTGTGCTGCTGCTGGTGGCTGCTGCTGCTGTGGTGCTGCTGTCGTGCTGCTGCAATCAAACAGCTTCCAAAGCAAGAAACAACTGCTGCTGCTGCTGCTGCTGCCCTTTTGCGTGCTCTTGCCCATAAGCCCCAAAATTGCACCCCGAAAATGCCCTAACGTAACTTCTGAAACCCATAGAACATGATGATTTTGGCTACTTTTTCCTCCTGCTGCTGCGGCTCCTGCTCCTAAACTTGTCTGAAATCCTAGAAAAAGCTAGATTTTTGGTAGGCTGCTGGCTACTGGCTGTTGGCTGCTACTGGCGCTGGCTGCTAGCTACTGGCTATGTGCACCTTTTGCGTGCTCTTGCCCATGTTCTTGACACCCATTGGTGCTATATAAACGAGAAAACTGCCAAACGTCACGTTTGAAACCTTATAGAAATATATACAAGATATATAGAAGTGCCTAACGTGTCGTCTGACACCCTAGAAAAACACAATTTTTCGATAGATTCTGTTGCTGGCGGCTGCTAGCAGTAAAACAGGTTCGAAAAAATCACCTGCCGGGGGGAAAACACCAGGGCTCTGAAGGACGAGCGAGTGCCAGAACCACGCCAAAAAAGTGCCTAACGTGTCGTCTGAAATCCTAGAAAAATCTAGATTTTTGGTAGGCTGCTGGCTACTGGCTGCTGGCTGCTACTGGCGCTGGCTGCTAGCTACTGGCTATGTGCACCTTTTGCGTGCTCTTGCCCACGTTCTTGACACCCATTGGTGCAAATTCCAATCCACTTTTGATTGCTGCTGCTGCTGCTGCTGCTGGTGGCTAGCTGCGACGGCTAAAAGTAAACCACTCCCATTCCTTATCCTGCTAGAAATCGCATCCAATCCAATCCATCCAACGGTGACTGCTGCTGCCAGCTCCCATGCCCTCAAAACAGCTCCACAACGAAGTCAAATGCTGTCCCGAGGCTTGACGTCCCTTCCGAAATCCTAGAGAACTAGCTCTTCAACTAGCTCTTCAACTTACAGCTTCTGAGCCGCCAAAATTGTCGGACCCGCCAGCCTGAAACACCATGGCAGTGAAGGACGAAGAAGCCACCAAATCGCACCAAAAAACTCCCGAACGTCCATTCTGAAATCCTAGCGACCTAGCTCTTCAACTAGCTCTTCAACTTACAACTTCTGAGCCGCCAAAACGCCGGACCCACCAGCCTGAAATACCAGGCAGTGAAGGACGAAGAAGCCACCAAATCGCACCAAAAAACTCCCTAACGTCCCTTCTGAAATCCTAGAGACCTAGCACTTCAACTACCTCTTCAACTTACAGCTTCTGACACGCCAAAACGCCAGACCCGCCAGCCTGAAACACCATGGCAGTGAAGGACGAAGAAGCCACCAAGCATGAACCCAAAAAAAGGGCAGGCGGGAAGGGCAACCCGAGGAGCCCCACGTACTTCGAGGAGACTCCGGGAAGGACCCCCCACCGGTGAAACAAAAATCCCGGAGTCAGGGAATCGAGGTACGTGACCGGTGGGAGGGGGACCCAACAGAGTCCCCCGGCATCACCGTGGAGGCTCCGGCCATTGGAGCCTTGCCTCGTTCCCGCAGCTTGCCAGTTTTGGGCAGCGCCCCAACTGCAGATGAGGAGGTTCAATACCAGGCGCCTCGGCAGGTTTCAGGTGTCAGGGACTCCTTCACAGAGAGTCGGAGGGTCTTCATCATCATGAGGTCATTTGTGTCATTGTCATCGTTATGTAGTTTATAATAGCTTGTCTTATTTTCAAATATGTTCATCACTTTATTGTCTTCCTGGGAGAATAGCTCATCTATGATCATCTATGTGCATCGCATGATTTTGTCATCGACATGACCGTACCTCGGAAATCGCCAAGCAAAAAAAAACATGATTTGTATTGATGTGTGGTGTAGTTTGGTGCCAAGGCCTATGTAAGTCAGCTCTCGCAGCAGATGGCTGAGAAAGATTTGACTTTCCTGGCTCGGCAACCAGAAGTGGCTGAAGCCGAGAATGAAGCGACGAAGTCAGAAGAAGCAGAACCAGGACCTCCAAGTCTTGGCAGCATTGGTCATCAGTGGGGTTTGTGTCGACGCCCTTGCATTTACCACCTTGCTTGCGGTAACTGCACAAAGGGAGCAGATTGTGCCTTGGCTGAAGCATGCTGGAGATGCTCGCAACTACCAGCAGGAAATGACATACAGCGACCATGTCAAACGATAACATGTTTGTGGTGTTGAAATGAATCAAGTCCAAGAGTAGGGCTAGGCAGGTAGCAGCAGTACAACGTTTGTAGAAACACATCAGTTGCATACAGATGCGATACATATTTTAGCTGTAGCCCTTTGCTGGAATGTTCCATTTGAGGCGGCTTTTGCCACATGCCTCATGGAGAGCGAGTTCCAAAGCTTGACAAGCAACAGCGCACTGTGCTACAAGAGCTAGGCGCTGGAGAGCTGTTGGCTTTGGTTCTGGAGCCATTGAGGGCCAAAGTGGCGCAGATGGGACTGGAGGAGAACGCAGCAGAGCTCATTGAGCTGTTGGAGATGGAGCGTGCTGGGCAAACCTCCGTGCTCAAGAACAACAAGAAGCATCCAAAGCTGCATTGCATCCGAAAGATCATGGGCCGCATGAGCATTGCGGGCCTGGTGGGCATTGCTGGGTACAGCCAGACCGGGACAGATTTTCGTGATCGGTTGACGGGAGCAGTCGAGAAGATGCGTGGTCAGCTCCAGTGACGTGGCATGAGGCTGTTGTCCTGGAGTTCGGAACGCAAAAGGCTCGGGGGTGATTGTGCAGTACAGTATTTACAGTAACTGATTTGATTTCATGTCAGTCAGGGGATGGCTATGAATGCCGCAGGTTTGAGAGTTGGAAATTGAAGGGGTGCTCTTCACAGAACAAATCTCGGGTACTTTGACAGTGGCATGTGTTCTAACATGTTGCATGATCAATGGGTTGTGCTCCATCCCAAGGGGCTTCCAATTCACAGCACTGGAGAGGACAGACAAGACTGTGGCCGTGGCCGAGGGCCGTTGAGGCTGTATGTTGGAAGGTTTATGGTCGTTGCCGTTGAGGCTTGCTACCATGCTAGAATGTTGCTGAAGGAGCCAGCAAGCTGCATAGATCTCAGACAGAGCTGAAGCCTTGCATGACGAAGGAAGATCTCATCTGCAAGGGGTCAGGGGTGGTCCTGGGATAGAAAATCAAATGAGAATAAATTCCGATCTTGTGGGTCTAAAATGGTTAATGGTACTGATTGGCAAAAACAACTACTTGGTGAGGATGAGGGAGAATCAATCTAGACCCTCAGCATCGGCCCCAACCCTTGATAAGAAATATTATGAAGATATATGATATATGAAGATGATGAAGTAAAGCTACATAGGATACCCTTCAGAGTGATGGTGTGCCCAGCAAAACCCTTGGAAGATGCAGCAACATGTCCCTCCCCAACCTGAAACTGCCAAGGAACGACAAATGGAGGCCACTCTTCTTGTGTTCCCTCAGCCATTCTCTGTGGGTGATGCCCTTCTCTGCCAGGAACTTCGGAAAGTAGTTTTCGAAGGTGATGACTTCGCTGAGGGCTTTCGGCTTTCCTGAAGGCTTAGGCCTCTTGCGAGCAGGTTCTCCCGCATCAACGGTGACTTCATCCAATGATGGCTCACCTTCCCCGATGGCAAGAAGTTTGCCTGGAGCAAAAGTCTTCTCCGGAGTCTCTGCAGCCTCTTTGCTGCGCTTGTTCTGGGGCTGGATGGGAGTGCCTGGTGCTGACGCTGGCTCTGGCTCCAGCAATGCCTTCCACTGGTCCATGTTGGCCCGGGAGCCCACCAATCTGTGCCAGAGATCCTGCCAGAAGCTCTCACCACACACAGATTCCCACAATCGCTTCAACTCCTTCCTGTATGCAGTCTGGATTTCCAGCAAGTCTCCTCTGTCAGCTGCTTCTCCTGCTCCTTCAATGACCGGCATATTCTCAGCAAAGGATAGCAGCATCTCAATGCCACAATTACCGTCTCCCCTCGTGCCCTTGGCAGCAATCCCATGGTCCCTCCAGAGCGCGAGCTGCATCTTGATCAGGTTGTCATGGGCCTGCGTGACTGCAAAGACTTCCTCAGCATGCGATTCCTTCAAGATCTTGCTGTCCTCAGCATCTTCTCCTTTGAGCTGCTGTGGACTGCCCAGAAGGTCGAGCCGCTTCTGCATCTCCTCGTGACTGTGGGCGCACAGTTGGTCAAAGAGGTCTTCCGGGTCACCAGCAGTTCGAAACCAACCAGGAATCCAGTGCAGGCAATCGGTGATCTCCGCTTCACCTGAGAAGAGATTTGGACTGCATCCTTCAGAGACTGGGTCTAAACTGGTTTCTGGTATGCATTAATGAAGCAAATACATCATGGAGGGTGATGGTAAACCAGTTTAGATCCCAAGCAAAGCCCCAAGTCCTGGGATAGAAAATCAAATGAGAATAAATTCCGATCTTGTGGGTCTAAAATGGTTAATGGTACTGATTGGCAAAAACAACTACTTGGTGAGGATGAGGGAGAATCAATCTAGACCCTCAGCATCGGCCCCAACCCCGGGGTAGGAGGTTTCAAAAGAAACACGCATCCCCACACATAACACATACTATGGGCCTATGGGTCTAAAATGGTATTGGGTTACAGTTCGTGATTGCAAACCTTCCATAAAGGTGATGAGAACCTAATTTAGATCCTTGGCAGGGGTCAGGTTGGCTTTGGACTCTAACTCTCGATCCCTGAACAAACCTAGGCACCCATCCCCACAAGTCTTGGCTAGGCCATGGGCCAGCAACACATCTTCAAGTCATGAACATCAACCCATCCGTTTTTTCTGGCACAGCCTTCCGCTGTTCCATGACCGCCCATGCTTTAGATTTCTGTCTGCAAATTCAATCCATTGTTGGTCCAATTCTGCCATTCTTGGCGCAGCCCTTTGTTTCCAATGGCAAAATCTTGTGAAGCCATGTTGTCGCCCCAGTGTTCCGTACGGTGCAGTGGCATAGTCAAACATTATAATTAGATTTCAAGGGGCTCGGAACGCCTGGCGCAGCATGTCAACACATGTCAACACATTGCATGCCATCGCATGTTTGACTGCGTGCGAGGTTTCACATTCAATTCACTGCTACAGTGTCCAGCGGTTCAACAGGATCAAGCTGATCCTGCGATCGAAATGCCTCGCTCTAGCAGGCTCGTGTGAAGAAATGGCCGGAAGTTTCGAGCAGGCCGATTGCCGAAGATTGCCGAAGATTGCCGGTGGCTGCCAGTGTTCAATACCAGCAATTAGACTGGACCAATACACTGGACCTGGCACTACTTGTACAATGTATTCAACATTCTGATTCAGCAAGTGGTGTAATTGGGAACGGCCCTGCACCTTCAGAGATAAAAGCATACATTTCATCATGAGGGAAGCCCGACGCATCGCTTGAGTCTGAGTGCACCGTCAAATGACTGCAGCTTGACAAATAGCTGCAATGTTTCAAGTGCAGATTTTGGACGGTACTGTAGACGCTATGCTTCAAGACCCGCGTAAGCAGACTGGAGACCACATTTGCGCTCCGAGGTCCCGCATTGTCCCATAGTGTTTCATATGGTTTCATGATCATCCAGCTTTTGTCCAGCTCCATCCATCATGACCGTGTTTCAGGGCTTACTTGCTGGTAGATCTGGTATGATGCTGGTCGGAGTGCTGCTCAGTGAAGGGGGGTTCCAGCCTATTCGGTCTGGCTTTGCCACACTAAAGCTCGCCGTTTCCTGGACCCAGAAAACCTCACCGATATCCTTCAATGGTCGCAATCCGTTGTCTAGAAGTGCCTTCAAACCTATGCTTTGGAGGCATTGAATTCTACAGATAGAATTCGCAAGCTTGAGGGGTCGAAACATTGGTGAGCCAATTGTGGTGTTACCTCATGGCATGTCAATGTTTTCACACTGCGCTGCATATCGTGTAAACAAAGGGCAAAGGCATGGCAAAGGCAGAGTAATCCCCTTCCCCCTAATATTGAGCACCCCCTCGAAACCAAGGCTTAGTAGGTTACACATGGTTACACAATTACACATATTTGGGAGTATTTGGGACCGTTTAGGGGGTGTTTCATCTTAGGGGGATGGGATTAGTTTAGTGCCGTCAGTGGCAAAGCCCCAAGTGGCCGCGATGTTGACCCGAGTTTCCATGTCCGCGGGGCATCTCTTGATCTGAAATGATGGCATGTCAGAGCAGAAATGCCTCTCAGCAAACGAGCCCTGGCGCTGCATTGCGCCTGTGCCTCCTCTTGGATGTTTGGGCCAAAAAAAGTTGGCTTGGGAGCGGCTGAGGGGTCATTGTTGGGCCGAAACATGCCGAAACAAAACCATACAGAACCTCTAGTTTTTCTGTAACTACGACACGGAGAGAATTCAGAAGTGAGCATGACCTGTCCATTATTTGTCCTCGGTCATGAGTTGGTCAGGTCGAAGTGGATTCCATAGAATCACAAATCAAATGAACGCGATCTGCGCAGGTCGCGGAAGTTCAAAGCAACATTCCTGGCATCGCCACTCTGAAGTGTCCTCGTTTTGGTATCTTGCCGCATTTTGCTGCCTTGAGCCAATGTTTAAAATCATTCCTCGCTGGCGTCCTAGCATACCATGCCAAAACCTGTTCCTGAATCAAGGATTTTCCAACAGCTCTAACATAGAAGATGAAGAGCGCGTAGATCCAGGATTGTTTATATAAAGCAAGATGCGAGTACTGTCATTCTTCATGATCTATCATTTTCTCATAGCGGCTATGCAAGGAAACCATGTCCAGACAATGTCCAGACTTACTGGATTAGACTTACTGAACATGTCGAATGCGGAAGGTGAAGGGTGAGCTATGCAACATTATGCAACTATATATGCATCGCATACTATGCGACCATACGCAACCATCTTAGACATTTTAGACACCTTCGACCCCAATGGATGATGACAAGGGATAACACATAAACGAATAATTGAGCAGTGTTCAAAGCCCTGTTGGTTGGTGGTTATAGAGGGTTAGGCCACCTCAAACATATAAGCTAATTGTATGTGTATTTTCTATGTATGTATAATACGTGTATATATATATATATATCTCTATCTATCTATCTATCTATCATATGTATTGTCGAAGGAAGTTTAGAAGTCAAACTTCCGACAATATGGACAGATGAAAAGCAGAGATGGGAAGAGTCGCAGAGATGGGAAGAGTCAGAGAAGAGAAGAAGAAAGAAGATCAAAAAGGGAAAGCCTCTGAAGAAAGCAGATCCAGGTGCGCGAAAAGGTAGGAAAGTCGCGAAACACTGTGTTTTTCCAATGATTTGTGGCTCCGGAGGGTCAAAGAGTAGGCTCGCTAAAGCGGCGGGTGCGGAGCCCACTGGCCAGATGAGACTTTGTGAAGTTGAGATGTCGAAAAAGTGCACGCCGTTGTGGCGCGAAGCACGTTTCCAAGTCAAAATGTACAAAACACCTCAGCTCCGGAGCACTTTGAAAGTTGAGATGTCGAAAAAGTGCACGCCGTTGTGGCGCGAAGCACATTTCGAAGTCAAAATGTTAAAAGCACCACATGCTCGGACCACTTTTAGACGTTCAGATGTCGTTTCATGTGGCCGGTGCACGGGATTGTGCACCTTGTCAAAAGTGAGCAAAACGTGAGGGTTTTGTAGCATTTCCAAAAACGATGGCAGGCGTGGGACATTTAAAGAGGATCTGCAAAGATGCATTTTCCGTGGCAGGCGCAGTAATGCCAACAC